GCTCCGCCCGCCTGGCTCGGCTCTCCCGCTCCGTCACCTTCAGCGCCTGCCACCGCCTGCACAGGTGAGCGGGATGGCACAGCTCCGGGATGGCACAGCTCCGGGATGGTACAGCCCCGGGATGGCACAGCCCTGGAATGGCACAGCCCCGGGATGGCACAGCTCCGGGATGGCACAGCCCTGGAATGGCACAGCCCCGGGATGGCACAGCTCCGGGATGGCACAGCCCTGGAATGGCACAGCCCCGGGATGGCACAGCTCCGGGATGGCACAGCTCCGGGATGGTACAGCCCCGGGATGGCACAGCCCTGGAATAGCACAGCTCCGGGATGGTACAGCCCCGGGATGGCACAGCCCTGGCACCGCTGCCCCCGCGGACAAATTTTTTTTAGCTCCCGGCGTTCCCCATGCTCCATGCTCAGCCTTTTCCCGGTGTTCCGTAGCTCTGCCCCTTCCCGATGCTCTATGGCTCAGCCTCTTCCCAGTGTTCATAGCTCATCCCTCTCCCAGTGTTCATAGCTCATCCCTTTCCCAGTGTTCCATAGCTCAGCCCTTTCCCAGTGTTCCATAGCTCAGCCCTTTCCCAGTGTTCGTAGCTCAGCCCTTTCCCCGTTTTTCATGTCTCAGTCCCTTTCCCGATGCCCCATGTCTCATTCCCTTCCCCTATTTCCATGTCTCATCCCTTTCCCGATGCTTCATATCTCAGCCCTTCCCCGTTTTCCATGTCTCAGCCCCTTCCCAGTGCTCCGTATCTCATCCCTTTCCCCGTTTTCCCTGGCTCATCCCTTTCCCTGTTTTCCATGTCTCATCCCTTTCCCTGTTTTCCCTGGTTCATCCCTTTCCCTGTTTTCCATATCTCATCCCTTTCCCCGTTTTCCCTGGCTCATCCCTTTCCCTGTTTTCGATGTTCCCCGTTTTCCATGTCTCAGCCCCTTCCCAGTGCTCCGTATCTCATCCCTTTCCCCATTTTCCATGTCTCATCCCTTTCCCTGTTTTCCATATCTCATCCCTTTCCCCGTTTCCCATGTCTCATCCCTTTCCCCGTTTCCCTGGCTCAGCCCGGTCCCAGCTCTGAGCCAGCAGTGCCCACTAGGCTGCAGAGCTCGAGAGGGTTTCCCAGAGCTGTTGTTTCCGCAGGAATAGCCCCGACATCTCCCTCTGCCCCTAATCCGTCGGTTTTCCCCTCGAAATGTTCCTACAAAGAGTGCCTTGACCTGGGACACCCCTCGAGCAGGAGTGACCTGCGTCAAAGGAAGGATTCAGAGGGAAGTTGTCCTCTGTTCCTCTTGGAGGAGCTCCCTGAGTTAGTTAACAATCAATATTAATGTGCCCAATTTGCTCCAGGCATTTCCTCCTGAGAGCCCCAAGTGATTCGGGGATGAGTCGTGTGTTGGAGGCTCATCCAGCAAAGCTGTTTGGCAGATGTTATGAAACAGAGAAAACCACAGCAAAGAAACCTCATTGTTGTCAACAACATCTTTTCACGTGTGAAATACTGCTCTGGTGCTGCTTGTGCCTCCCGAGGAGGACAAGCTGTGGGCTAAATTTGGGAGGGGAATAGAAGAGCTAGAAAGGAATCACAGCTGAAGCAAAGTCTGGAGTAGATCCTGACGTGCCTTGTCTGCCCTTCTCACAGTAAATCACTGAGTGATGAAGAAAACCTGAAGCTGTTTGGGAAATGCAATAACCCAAATGGGCATGGACACAACTATAAA